TGTTTATACTTTTTAGTACATGTTTATACTTTTTAGTACATGTTTATGCTTTTTAGTACATGTTTATACTTTTTAGTACATGTTTATACTTTTTAGTACTTGTTAATACGTTTTAGTACGTGTTAATATGTTTTATTACGTGTTAATACGTTTTAGTACGTGTTAATACGTTTTAGTACGTGTTAATACTTTTTAGTATGTGTTAATACTTTTTAGTACGTGTTAATACGTTTTAGTACGTGTTAATATGTTTTAGTACATGTTAATACTTTTTTGTACATGTTTATACTTTTTAGTATGTGTTTATACTTTTTAGTACGTGTTAATACGTTTTAGTACGTGTTAATATGTTTTAGTACATGTTAATACGTTTTAGTACATGTTAATACTTTTTTGTACATGTTTATACTTTTTAGTATGTGTTAATACGTTTTAGTACATGATAATACTTTTTAGTACGTGTTAATACTTTTTAGTACATGTTAATACGTTTTAGTACATGTTAATACGTTTTAGTACATGTTAATACGTTTTAGTACATGTTAATACTTCTAACTTGTGAATTTGATATTTTATCAGAATTTCACTGTAACTCTTTTCTACCTCCTCCTCTTTGCTCTTCATCTGTCATGGGGACACACTTTTCTCCACCATAGGACCTGAAATGATAATTAAAGTTGCCTATGTGACCCCTCAGATCCTAAATAGAATCGCTTGAAATGAGCTTCCTCTGCAGCCAGGCCATGGTTAAGGTGAGGAGCACTGTCATCCAGGAGAAACCTTGGAGGAAATTCTACTCCTCCTATGTGGAAGGAGTCAGCTTGAGGAGGTGGAAACATCCGATCAGAATACCTCCCTACAGAGGTTTTATGGACCCTTCCCACTAAAAGGTGATCCATTGGCAGACTGAGAACTTCCTGGAGGGGTTGAGCATCTTCTCTGGCCTGGGAACACCTCTGGAACTCAGAAGGAGCTGGACTGTGTCTTTAGGTTTAGTGTCTGGAGGTCCTTCTTGAACCTGTTGTACAGGAAACTGCAACCATGATTATGTCTGAAAAGATCGTGTGCTTGTCCAAACGGCTGACAGACTGCATTTCTCATGTCTCATGTGTCTTCATGTGTCTTCATGTGTCTTCGTGTGTCTTCATGTGTTCAGGTGAGGCTGCAGTGAGAACTGAAGAGTCTTCAGAGTTCGACATCAGCGCATGTCCCATCATGTTTTATGGACAGAAGTATGAACAGTTATATGTGAGTAAAGCTTTGGAATCTTCAGGATATTTCCATCTCTTTCCATTTTCTGTCACTATTATTGTTGGGTCTATCAGGGGGAGTGGTGGTGCAGAGGTTAGAGAAGGTGGGTCTGTGATTGGAAGGTTGCCGGTTCAACTCCCCGGATCAACAACATCAAAATATTCATTCAACCTTTATTTATACAGGTTAGTCCCAAAATAAGGGTGGGAAAGGTGAAGCACCCACACCTGCCTCCACCCTCATTTGCTCCACTCTGGGCCCATGAGCAAGGCCCTTCACCCCCACCATCTGCTCCCCCGGGTGCTCTATGTCAGCTCTCTGCTCCACATAGAGGGCTGTGGTTGTGTCAGGAAGGACGTCCGGAGTAAAAACAATCACCAAGTCTTTGTGCAAGTTAGTTCTCTATGAAGACCCCTGAAGAAGGAGTAGCTGCAAGAAGAAGAAGAAGAAAAAATATTGTTGTGTCTATCGTTGTTAAAAATGATGATTGGACTGAAGACATGACTTAGGCCCTCTTTTTAGGGAAATCAAGTTTCCCTAAAATCATCTGGACTATAATGGGTCTTGCAGGTAGGTAGATTGATTACGGTGACATTATTTACATGAACGCTCCTACAAGAACCTGCAGATGTTGGATGCTGCAGATGTTGGATGCTGCAGATGTTGGATGCTGCAGATGTTGGATGCTGTCTATCATGGTGCACTAAGATTCAGAACTGGCGGTAACTACCGTACCCACCACTGCTCCCAGTATTCACTGGTTAACTGGTCACCATTAACTTCACACAGACTCTCCCACTGGTACATCTTCATCTTTAAATCACTTCCTGGTCTGCTGCCTTCATACATCTCCTCCTACATGTGTCTGTGTGAGTGCAGCTACAGCGTGCGCTCTCAGGACATCATTACCTGCAGTGTTCCCTCAGTGAGGACTGAACTAGACAAAAGGACCTTCTCCTACTCCGCTCCTGTTTCCTGGAATATCTTGTAAAAACATCTGAAGCTCTCGACCTTTGACCTCTCTAAGTGGCTTCAAACATCTGTTCAGTTCCTGCAGATGTTCCTGTTTGTAGTTTTCTACATCACCTTATGATCTAGCTGGGTTTTTCCTTTTGACTGTCCTTTTTGGTTGCCATTTTATTTTAATTCAAACATCTAATAAGTTCATGGAAAAAAACAGCGTAGACATGTTCTTGTTATTATTTTGTTTTATTTCATTTCTTCTATTTACTTTTAATTTTATATGCTTTTATATGAGTTCAAGAATCTTCATTATCTCCGAGGGACGATTTGTTTCACAGTCAAGTAGAAACACAAAACACTGAGACGTTAAAGACAGTACAGAAGTCAGTGTTCATTGATTGTTGTTGTCTGTAGATCATCTGTGTTCTTTGTTAAATCAGTTCTCTGTTGTAAAAGAGTCCGTGAAGCTCGATGAGACTCACATGTTGAAATAATGGTTGAATGAATGAAACATTAAATGGTAAATGGACTGCACCTATACAGCTCCTTTCTATCTTATTTCAAGATGCTCAAAGCTCTTTACAACAATCTGTGCGTCATTTACCCGTTCATACAGCTCTATACTAGATCTCTACAAAGAAAAATGAACAAATCATTCTAAAGAGATTAATCAGAGCTTTATCACATTCATACAACGATGGGACACACATCAGAGGCAACGAGGGGTTCAGTGTCTTGCCCAGAGACACTTCGGCATGTGACTGCTGGTGGATTCGAACCCCCAACTCTCGCATTGGAGGACGACTGCTCTAACCACTGAGCCACAGCCGCCACATTACATATTTGAAGAAATGTATCTTTGTATGCCTGAGCTGCTCAGATTTTCAAACACATTTTTTACAGACTATTTGGTTTCATTTCATGTATTAAAAAATAACCTTTTGCCTTATGTTTGTTGTATGTTTCGGATCTTTCAGTTGAACTTGACAAACAACAACATCGTAATCTGTTTCAACGGCTTTTACAACCATCAGACCAGAGCCGACTGTTTGCTGGGGCCTAAAGTGGAGAAGGTGTATTTTGAGGTTCATGATAGATTTTCCTTGTTAGAAGAACAGATTCATGAGAATGTGCCACACATCAAGACGAGCATGACATGCTACGTGTACTTTGAACTGTGGCAGAACGACTCCGTGGTGAGTGATGTAGCAAGTCTTCTTCTTCTTCATTTTCTTATTATTTTTTGGCTTTTTCCTCTTCAGATGTCTCCACAATGAGTCCTCCTCCATCTCACTCTGTCCTCTGTCCTCACTCCATCTACCTCCATGTCCTCTCCAACTGCATCCATATATCTCCTCTGTCTTTTTCCTGGAAGCTGCATTTCTAACATCCTTCTACCAAAATAACACTGTCTCTCCTCTGGACATGTCCAAACCACTGTCCCTCCACTGGACATGTCCAAACCATCTCAGTGTGTTCTCTCTAACTTCATCTCCCAGTTGTTCAACCTGTGCTGTACCTCTGATGATCTCATTCCTGATCTTCTCCATCCTTGTCTCTCCTAAGAAGAACCTCAACATCTTCATTTCTGCTACTTCCAGTTCTGTCTCCTATCTTTTTGTCCATGTCTCTGTCTCCAGACCATACAACATAGCTGGTCTCACCACTGTTTTGCAAACTTGAGTGATGTAGCAAGTGAATTTGAATATTGCTGCAGCTGTACATGTTTCTGAGCATGGAAATTATTGTGTGTTCACCGTTTGTAGGCTCAGTTGTCTTTAACGAGTTTTGGGAGACAAGCAGCTCTGAAGTTGAATCTTCTTTTATCGGCGACTGTGGTAAGCGTTTGTGTTTCATAGATCCATAACAGCTAAATGGACAATTTGAATTTAGTCTAAATTTAGTCATTTCTGCTCAATGGTTCTGTCTCGGCTTGTTTGTTTCTGTAGGCTGTTTACGTTCTAGTTGATGATAGCGTTGTTGATACGCTGACCGTTACAAACCCCAGTGATTATGTTTACAACGCTGCCTACGCAGATATAAGTGGCTGCAGGCACTCAGGTCAGTAAACTGCTGGATCCAAGTACTAAAGTACAATATCTGAGTGTTTTTATTTGTGTGGACAGAAAATACTTTAACATTTTTTTTGGTTTTAAACTAACACTTTCTCTCCATCCTCAGGGCTGGTATATAAAGCGGGTGCAGTGGTGTACTCTGTTCCTGAAACCTGTTTCAGTTTCATCTGTAGTGAGACTGCAGTCCTTCAAAATTCCAGCTGTGGGCCTCTGGAGCTTTGTCAAGGCAATGGCATGTAAATACATCCACTTTAGATATTTAGGGGAAATGCTGTGATCAAACTTGCACTAGATGGGAGATTAACAATTTGTCTGTTAAGGGATATTTCACTGGAGCTGCAAACTGTTTTTCATCCATCTATCAATCTATTTATACATCCATCCATCTCATTTTTTTTGCTTATAAGTAGTTGGGTCATAAAAAGGAAAAATCATTCAACCTTTATTTAGACAGGTAAATCCCATTGAGCCTCGAGGACTCATTTACAAGAGAGACCTGATTTCAACAAAGAAAGATGACAACAATGGACAACAGCAACAACAATAAACAATTATAAAAAGTCATACTGCAGTTTTTTTTTGTTTTGTTTTTTTACAAATAGGATGGCTAAAAGGAAAAGGTAACAAAAAAACATTCTAAGGCAAATGTAGAAAACTAAAAACAGGAACATGTCTGCATTGGTCCCTGCCAGGAGTCCAACAGATTCTTAAAGCCACTTAGAGAGGTCAAAGGTCGAGAGCTTCAGCTCTTTTTACAAGATATTCCAGGAAACAGGAGCAGAGTAGGAGAAGGTCCTTTTGCCTAGTTCAGTCCTCACTGAGGGAACACTGCAGGTAATGATGTCCTGAGAGCGCACGCTGTAGCTGCACTCACTCAGAGACATGTAGGAGGAGATGTATGAAGGCAGCAGACCAGGAAGTGATTTAAAGATGAAAATGTACCAGTGTACCAAAATAAGACAAAAGAGATAACCCATAAGGGAAACACAGACAAATATATACCAAACAACCCTTTCCAAATCTTCTTGGGGGATCTCACGGTGTTCAAGGCTAAAGAGGATATATCCTTCCAGCAAGTTCTGGATATGCTTATGGGTCCTCTGCCATTGAGATGTTCCCACAAATCCTCCACAGTGTGGTGCCAAGGAGGCAGAGGAGAAGTGGCTCTTTTTTAAACCACCCAGATGTTGAAGGTCCTCACCCTTTCACTAAGCCTGAGATCAGCCTTAACGCAGAGGGATCTTATTTTTACCACTTGTATTTTGACTATTGTTTTTAGGTTACAATCCATATCGGTGAAGGTAGGGACACAGGTTGACCTGTAAAGCTTTGCTTATTGGCTCAGCTCTTTCTTCACCAAGAAAGACCAGAACAACGCCCACACTATTACAGATTAGGTCCAGATCTGACGGTCCATCTTCTGCCCCATCTCACCACTTCTTCTTCTTCTTCTTTCGGCTTTTCCCTCTTCAGGGGTCGCCACAGCAAGTCATCCTCCTCCACCTCACTCTGTCCTCTGCATCCTCTGTCCTCACTCCAACTACCTTCATGTCCTCTCTAACTGCATCCATATATCTCCTCTTTGGCCTTCCTCTTTGTCTTTTTCCTGGCAGCTGCATTTCTAACATCCTTCTACCAATATATACACTATCCCTCCTCTTGACATGTCCAAACCATCTCAGTCTGGCCTCCCTAACCTTATCTCCCAGTTGTTCAACCTGGGCTGTACCTCTGATTATCTCATTCATAATCTTATCCAGCCTTGTCACTCCTAAGGAGAACCTTAGCATCTTCATTTCTGCCACTTCCAGTTTTTCTCCTGTCTTTTTTTCAATTCAACTTTCTCCAGACCATACAAAATAGCTGGTCTCACCACTGTCTTGTAAACTTTTCCTTTGACCTTTGCTGACACCCTTTTGGCACAAATCACTCCTAAAACTTTTCTCCATCCACTCCAACCTGCCTGGACTCTCTTTTTCACTTCTTTACCACATTCCCCATTTTCCTGGACAGTGGACCCCAAGTACTTTTTTTTCATTCAACCTTTATTTAGACAGGTAATCCCATTGAGCCCCGAGGACTAAGGTGCAGGACTTCAAGTCCTGCACCTTTGTGACCTCTGCTCCTTGTAGCCTCACTGTTCTACCATCCTCCCTCTCATTTACACACATGGACTCTGTCTTACTACGGCTGACTTTCATTCCTCTTCTTTCAAGTACGTACCTCCACGTCTCCAAGTTCTCTTCCACCTGTTCCCTGTTCTCACCACAGATCACAATGTCATTTGCAAACATCATCGTCCATGGGAATTTTTGCCTGACCTCATCTATTAGTCGGTCCATCACCAGAGCAAACAAGAAGGGGCTCAGAGCCGATCCTTGATGCAATCCCACCTCCACCTTGAAGCCATTTGTCACTCCTACAGCACATCTCACCACTGTCCTGCTGTCCTCATACATGTCCTGCTGTCCTCATACATGTCCTGCTGTCCTCATACATGTCCTGCTGTCCTCATACATGTCCTGCTGTCCTCATACATGTCCTGTAGCAGTCTAACATACTTTTCTGCCACTCCAGATTTCCTTATGCAATACCACACCTCCTCCGTCGGCACTCTGTCATATGCTTTTTCTAAATCCACAAAGACACAATGGAGTTCTTTCTGACCTTCTCTGTACTTCTCCATCAGCATTATCAAAGCAAAGATGGATCTGTGGAGCTCTTTCTTGGCATGAAACCATACTGCTGCTCACAGATAGTCACCTCTCTTCTAAGTCTTGCTTCCACAATCTCTCCCATATCTTCATGGTGTGGCTCATCAACTTAATTCCCCTGTAGTTTCTCCGGGCCTGTGGTGTGGGGCTTTAGGGATGCATTAGTGTGCTGGGCCGGCCCTTAGCTGCTGCTCCCTGCTGCTGTGACCCCCAGCCTGAGGCCGGCTTGCGGTCACTGTCGGGCGGGTGGGGCGCATGGATGGCCCGACAGAGGCTCTGTCAGGCTGTCTCTGTGTGCCATTTTATGTCTCAGGTTGGGTTTTAGGTGGTCCCCTCTCTTGGATCAGTTTTGGCCCCCCATTTGGTGTGTCATGCTCCCCTCTGGTGGTGGGCCCCCCTGCTGCCAGTGCATTGGCGGCTCTCAGCAGCTGGGGCTGGGTGGTGGGGTGTGCGCGGGCCTGCCCTGGTGGCTGCCTGTGGGGGCCTGGGTGCCCTGGCTCTGTCGGGCCTCTGTTGGGAGTTGTATGACCTTGGGACTCGGGGCTTGGTGTCCATGGCTGGATCCACTCTGGAGGGGCGGGTTGCCGGCAGAACCTGTTGACTTGTTGCTACAGCCTCCTGGGGTTTCTGCATTGTGGTGGCTGGGGATTGCCCGGGGCTTCCCTTTGCTTCTCTGTCTGTGGGGTGTGGGTGTCCCTGTTGGGGGACTCCCAGAGTTCCGGGCTTGGGGACCGTTGTGTGTCTGTGGTTCTGGTCTTCCCTGTGTTACCTTCGTGTCCTGTGGGGACAGGTTTATGGGTTCCCACATCCACTATTGAACATTTTTATAGAGAAACCTTATAGTGATAAGCATGCTCACACAGGTGTTGAGATTCAGGCGTTTATCAGATACACACTCAGTTGGGTTGTGGTGGCCATCAAATATATATTGTATTACCATGTACTGCATAAAATACTATCTAATGATGATATAAGTATCATTATATATGTTTGTTGTTGTGGTTACTTGGTTTTGTCGTTTTTTGTTTTTTTTTCTCTTTCCACAGGTCTAGAGTCAGACTTCAATGATGTTGATTTGTGTTCTCTTTATCCCTCTCTCTCTCTCCTCTATTCCTTTCTCCTTCTTTACATTTTAACTCTTCTCTCACTTTTCTGCTTTGTTATCTTCTTTGTTTTTTGTCCCCGTGTCCATTACATGTGGAACAAACCCAAAGCATATTCTAATACAATTTAATTTATATATCAAGTGGAGCTTTAAGGCCAGCCATAATGCTCTGCTTGTGAAAGTAAATCTGTTGGGCATCATTTTGACACCCAAACAATAATTCTAAGTGTCACAATGCCAGACAGGACAAGGGAAAAAATTAAAAAAATTAAAAAAATTAAATTCCCCTGTAGTTGCTACAACTCTGTACATCACCCTTGTTCTTAAAAATGGCCACCAGCACACTTCTCCTCTATTCCCGAGGCATTTTCTCACCCTCAAATATGTCATTGAATATTTGAGTCAAAAACCTCACTGTCATCTCTCCAAGACATTTCCAAACCTCCACTGGTCATCAGGTCCTACTGCCTTCCCTTTCATCATTCTTTTCAGAGCTTTCTGGACTTCACCCTCAGTAATCTTTCCCACTTTCTGGTCCACAGTTTCTATGACCTCTACTCTTCTTTCTCTTTCATTCTCTTCATTCATTAGCTCCTCAAAGTACTCCTTCCATCTTCCCGTCACACTCTCCTCACTTTTTAGAACATTACCATTCCTATCTTTAATAAGCCTAACCTGCTACACATCCTTTCCAGCCTGATCCCTTTGTCCTGCCAATCGGTACAAGTCCTTTTCATCCTTTTTAGTGTCCAGTCTCCCATACAACTCATTGTACGCCCTCTGCTTTGCCTTAGCTACCTCCCTCATTGCTCTACATCCCATCTCCTTATATTCCTGTCTCCTCTCTTCAGTCCTCTCTCTGTCATATTTCTTCTTGGCTAATCTCGTTCTTTGAACAGCATCCTGCACTTCACTATTCCACCACCAGGTTTCCTTATCATCCATTCTCTGTCCAGATGACACACCAAGTACCTTCCTACTAGTCTCTCTAATTACTGTTGCTGTAGTAGCCCAGTCATTTGGAAGCTCTTTCTTACCACTCAGAACCTTTAACAGCTCCTCTCTGAATTTCTCACAACATTCTTCCTTCTTCATCTTCCACCATTTGGTCTTCTACTCTGATTTTACCCTATTTCTGTTCTTCACAACAACAGTCATTCTACACACAACCATCCAATGCTGTCTGGCCACGCTCTCCCCTGCCACAACCTTACAGTCTCCAATCTCCCTCAGGTTTCCTCTTCCACACAGAATGTTGTCGACCTGCGTACTCCTTCATCCACTTTTATAGGTCACTCTATGTTCCTCCCTCTTTTGGAAATAGGTATTGACTATAGCCATTTCCATTCTCTTGGCAAAATCCACCACCATATGTCCTTCCTGGTTTCTTTCCTTGACACCAAACCTACCCATCACTTCCTCATTCCCTTTGTTTCCTTCACCAACACGTCCATTCAGGTCTGCTCCCATCACCACTCTCTCCTCCCTGGGAATACTCTCTATCATTTCATCCAGATCTTTACAAAATGTATCTTTCTCCTCCTCATCGCATCCAACCTGTGGAGCATAACCACTGACAATGTTTAGCATCAGACCTTCTACTTTTACCTTCAGGCACATCACCCTATCTGACACTCTTTTCACCTCTACTACATTCTTTGCCAACTCCTCCTTCAGGATCACCCCTACCCCATTTCTTTTTTCTATCCACACCATGGTAAAACAGTTTGAACCCTGCTCCAATGCTGCGAGCCTTGCTGCCCTTCCACTTGGTCTCTTGGACACATAAAACATCTACCTTCCTTCTCAGCATCATGTCAGCCAGCTCTCTACCTTTGCCTGTCATTGCCCCACATTTAGAGATGCAACCTTCAGTCCTACATTTTTCACTTTCCTCTACTCCCTCTGTCTCCTGACACGTTTCCCTCCTCATGGTCTTCAACTAACAGTAGCACAATTTCCACCGGCACCCTGTTTGTCAACAGCACCGGTAGCAGTCATTGTTAACCCGGGCCTTGACCGATCCGGTATGGTTTTACTTTGATGAACTTGCATTATGGTTTTGGCAAAAGTGTTTTACATCGGATGCCATTCCTGACACAACCCTCACCATTTACCCGGGCTTGGGACTGGCACAAGAGATACACTGGCTTGTGCTCCCTAGTGACTGGTTTTCTGCCCCATCTCACCATCATGTCTGAAAATGACTCTCAGGCACCTGAACCCATCCCAACCTGGAGGGTTGTATGAATAAAATGAACATTTCACCCTTTTTCACAGAAGAACCATGTCCTCAGAAGAAGCTGGCTGTCATCTCATCTGCTTCATATTTGGCTGTAAACTTCCCCAGTGTTAGCTGCAGCTGTGTCATTCTCCAGTCCTTCTGATTACAGCTCCTGGAAGCCACATCTTCAATGGATGCTTTGAACATGAATTATTCAGATTCCATGTCTCTGATCTTCTCTGGTACATACAATTAAAAATCCTGGAGGAGTGAGTTGAAGATATTATTAACAGACGCCTCTACCAAATGCTCCTGTCCAGGAGGCCTCCCCACCATCAGATTCAAGTCACTATCAGTTAGAAATCAGTTGAAGGCTCTCAATTTATTTTTACCCAAGTAGTGACTTGGGAAAGTGTTAAGGACCTGTCGTCTCTGTATTCAGTGGGGTTTCCTCTAATGTCACCATCGGGCCAACCTTTTATGTTTTCAGTGAGACATCTTGGACAGTACAGAGCTGTGACCCTCAGTAGCAGCTCATGGTGTTTGGGTGTGTTTCTGTCTCTATCAGCTGCTTGTTGGATGCCATTTGCACTGTGACGGGCCCTGCTGCCATCGACTTCTACGGCCGCTTGGACTTTGTACATGATCGGTGTGTGTACTCTCTGCTGAAGATTCCATCAGTCTCAAATTTCCAGATGCTTGCCAAATTCCAAGAGAGGCGTCGTAAAGATGTGAGCTTTCTGGACAGTGTGAAGCTGCAACTGAATGGCAGTTACATCCACCTGAAGCAAGGCGGCAGAGTTCTGGTGAGTCTGAGTGGACTTGGATCCAGAATGTGTCCTCTCATGTTTCCTCTCAGTGACATTAAGCAGCAGCTCTCTGATGCTGCTGAACTCAGTGGTTGTTGCTGTGAAAACAGCTTGTTTGTGTGTCTGGCATGTTGACCTCAGGGTTTCCTCCAATTTGTCTCTCTGCCATGCAGATAGATGAAACACCACTGAACTTCAACAGCTCCATTCAGATGAATCATGGTATGGAAATCTCTAAGGACCAAACTGGAGTCACTGTCAAAGTGTCTGTGTCCAACTTCACCATTTCTGTCTTCTTTGATGGCTACACCACACAGATCCACATTGAAGGTACAGTAAAATGACTGTTGTTGATGGGGGATGTAAACTCTGCTGTGCTCATCCAGTTTAAATCTTATGTGACTATTATGGTTTCTGAATGGGTCCAGGAACTGGTGGATCATCTCTGCAGGGATTATGCCAAAACAGCAGTGAAGCGAGGCTCCCTGAGTACAGCTCCACGAGGTAAGAGCTCCTCACTGACTGCTGCTCTGCTGCTGCTGGATGAATGGACTGCAGAGAAACTCTGGATGAACAAGCAAACAGTCCTGACCTTGTTGTGTGTCGCCCCCTAGCTGTGAGACGCTGTATAACGACACTGATGACAGATCCATAAACTGCACCAAGATGACTGAACGGTGAGCAGATACATCCAGAACATCTTTCCAAGCTTCACTCTGGTCTCTGTGGTAGATTACATGTTTAATACCTTTGTTATCTTCCATGTTGTCTGTTTCCTTGTGTGGAGCAGCTGTAACCTCCTGAAGGAGGCACCCTTCACTTCCTGTGACATCGACCCAGAGCCCTACATCACCGCCTGCACAGACACTTTGTCCAGGTATCCTGCAGTGGACGGTCTCAAGTGTCAGTTCCTGGAGGCCTATGCCAGAGCCTGCAGCCTGAAGTCCAACACCACACTGGAGGGCTGGAGGTCCAAGACTGAGTGTCGTAAGTCCTGCTTTCGTCCAACATCTGATATAAAGAAATCACTTGTTAATTCTTCAGAATAATTCATCAGTGTGTTCCTCTGCAGCTTCCCCTGAGGCCTTCTGTCAGGACAGGGCCTGCAGCGATCATGAGTTCTGTGGAAAGAAGAATGCTTGTGGAGAAACTCGTTGCTTCTGTCGGCCAATTTTTGCTTCCAAGTACAAAGAGAGTGACACTTTGGGTACGGCAGTTGTGATCACACCATTAAACTATTGGAGAAAATATTCTAACTTTGGTTCATTCTCAACATGGTGACCTTTAGGTAACCCGACCATCTGCAGGAGGAACGTGGCTTCACTCAGTCTGCTCGGGTGTCTCCTGGAGGATAAAGGCATTGATTACTCTGTCTTACACCTCAACGACCCAACCTGCAGGGGTCGGATGGATGAGGAAACTCACCTGGTGACTTTCAGCTTTAGAAGCAACAGATGTGGGACAGAAGTCACGGTGGGTTCTCAACATTTCATTTCTACAAGCAACTAAACGTCTTCTAGATCTCTTCTTGCTTCTTGTTTTTCTATTTTGAGGTCTTTGGTGACAGATTAATCTGACGTAATCTGTCATGTGAGCTTGTAAACCTATTTTGTAACACAGTCCTAATATTTTATCTTGTAGCTCAACGACAGCCGGATCATCTACTCGAACGCCATCACAAACAAGAACGACTTCTCTGACATGATCATTCACCATGACCCGGTCAGGATCGACTTCTCCTGCTACCTGAACCAGCCAGGCATCAAATCCATGGCCCTGACATACCAAGACATGTGTGTGGCTGCTGCTTCGCTTTATACACTTACAGCATTTCATGATTGATTGACTGATTGATTGATTGATTTGTTTAACAGAATGAACCCAGGAAGCCAGAACAACTCCACAGAGTCCTTGTCAAGTTCGCAACATAAATCCAGAATAAAGGAGAGTTATGAAGATACGTCAAGACAAGAAGATGTATAAAAGACATTAAATCTGAAAAGCAAAATGAAATGAAGCACAGGCTCAAGACAAGGGGAGACATGAATAAATGTATCATACTAAACTCAACATGTTGCTCCATGTTCTCCTTTGAAACCTTTAAGAGGCGTGAAGTCATGAGAAGAATGTGTTGATTTATTATTTGTGCTTTTGTCACCCCCGTCTCTCCAAAAGATCAGTTAAAGTTAATCCACAGAGACAAAATAAAGTCTCACATCAGTCAGCTTTTGACAACATCTGGGCTGAAAACCAAGCTGGCCAGATGTTATGCTACCATGTTTAAGAAACAGTCTTACAACATTATTTAAATAGATGTATTTATATTTTTGTATACATTAATATGAAGGAATGGTGAGTACTGTAACACAACAGAACGGTGTAATAAAGTAATATATTTAAGGATTGTCTCTATAGTTCTTCATCTTGCCATGAATATGTGTCAGTATGTGAGGGGTTAATTAAAGAAACAGTATTCCTTTTTTTTTTTTTTTTTTTTTTTTTTTGTGATGGCCTCCCTTCTCCCCTTACAGCCATCCTCTCCACACCATTATTATGAAATATTTATTATAGTGACTATCTAGTGTAGGTTTTTATTTTTTTTTTTATTTTTTTTTTTTTTTTAATAGGATAGAAAGAAAGAAAAGACAAAGTAAGACTCCAAAATATAAGAAATATATACAAATAGAGCACACGTCAAAACACCCGGCCACTGTCTGTTCACCTGCAAAGAACATGACAAAACACAGCAACAAAATACCTATGTATAAAGAACTTAAAATATTCATGGCTTTGCAGTAAGTTTCCATAAATATATATACCCATACCTACGCCTATATACATACATACATACATACATACATACACATGAATATACACTCACATACATATCTATATATCTACATATAAAGCCTACATAAACATCCCTGCTTCTATTTGTGTGTGATTGTGAGCATGCATAAGTGTATAAGGCTTCTCTAATAGAACATTTATTAGTAACTGTGAAGCAGCAGAGACCCGACCCCCAAGACCAGAGGCAGACGAAAAAGGGGGGACCAGAGCCCAAGACCCCAGGAGGGACCCCGACCGCGGAGCCCCCAGAGCCACCCACACAGGACGAACCACTCACCCACCCCCCAGAACGGACCACAGGGGAGAACCGGAAGATCCCCACCAGCAACCACATACAGTGACCCCCCGGGGCCAACAGCGACAAACTCATAGGCCTCCGTCGGCACCCGCCGCACCGATGTAGGTCCAGGTCCAGGCACCGAGGCCCAGGCACCGAGGACTCACACCACCCAGGCCAAGGCCTGACAGGGCCAGAGGACCCGAGCCCCACCAGGCAGACACCAGGCCGAGCCGACACACGCCCAAGCGCCCAGCCCCCGATACCAAGGGCCCCAAGCGCGCCGGCAGGCAAGGGCACACCCCACCAGGGGGCCGCGCGATAGGGGCGCGATGCCAAGCACCCCCAGTTGTATCAAAGAGGGGGCAGTCCGAGTCTCGGCCTAACAAAAACCCATTCATACACATACACAATCACACAATCCCAACCTCAATCTCACATTCACTCACTCAAAGACATACAATAACGATACATTTCATTCTTATTCCCGATACACACTCTATACCCCCCAGGTCCAAGACATGTACCCGCCCTCTACAGGGGGCAGCCCATGCCCAAACCCAGGAGGTAAACCCATTCATTCTTGAGCGGAGAAGAGCCAATACTCCAGACCCGGCCCAGGCCATGCCCCGCCGACAGGACACCCCCCCACCATGAAGAGGACACGCCACCGACCACCCCCACACACCGCCAACAACCAAGCACGCACCCCCAGCCGACCGCCCGCCAGGCCCCGGCAGCCACCCCGGCCAGCGGGCCAACCATGGCACCCAAGAGCCAAGCTCAGGGGGTCCAAACAACCCCAGGGAGAGCACAGCGCCAGCACCGCCCATGGCAACCCCCAGACCCTGAACCCCCACATAATCCTGGTCAACACCCGACGGCCTGCCCTTCTCCCGGACCCCACCCCCGGAATGGCAGTCAGGGAACTAGGTGGGTAGGAAGAGGAGAAAAAAATAAATAAATAAATAAAAATAAGACCCCGACACATACACCCCCACCCCTAGATGTGCTGTTGATGTGTGTTGTTGTATAGTGCCATTAAAAAGGAAAGAAACAGTATTCCAACACGTGTCTGTCCCATTAACACAGTGGCTTCTGATGCAGCCACTTCCCTGCATGCTCATATCGGGAGGGACCAAAAGGATCGTTAACGTGTAACAAAGTTAAATCAGGTCCTCTGGACATTATTGTTGATAAATGAAGTGCAGAATGGAGAGTCACACATGTTGGACATATTTGCATCTATTTTATGTATTTAAATGGAGGCATGTTGGGGAGGTATGCGCGCTCAGTTTCATGCTAGTCAGGATAAATGAAAAAAGTGTGTAAAACATTAAAGTGCATGGTTTGATGACTCAGTGAAATGTTTCGGTCCAGAGATACTCAAACTCACCCCTTCCTTCCACATTGGCCCTTTCACACGTGTATTTAATTTCTATTTAAATTACAATTCAATTCAATTCAATTCAAAAATACTTTATTAATCCCAGAGGGAAATTATTTGTTGTTGTAACTCGTTATCCTCATTTCATTAAGCGATGTTATAGATGCTGATGGCTGTAGGCAGGAAGGATCTTTTGTAAAGGTCCATCCCTCAGTGGATCCTAAGAAACTGACTGCAGATGCCGTCCGATCCGTCCACCCAGACTCGGCTGGCCTCTCGGTTCCCCCGGGCTGTAGGACCGTCCAAATGCTTGGCAGAACTCCTCCCAGTGCAATGGCCACTCCTCCCAGCAGCCTGCCAAGCTCCTCATCACTGCAGACAGCCAGCTGTAGGTGCCAAGGGATGATCCTGTCCTTCTGCTGCCATGAGCCGTGTTTCATGCTAGTTCCAGGATCTCAGTGGTCAGGCACTCAAGCACAGCTGGCAGGTAGATGAGAATGCATCCACAGAACATCCTTTTCAACTCATTTGAGATTTGGGGCTGTGGTTGAGATAATATTTGAGCTTTTGAGATGTTAATCAGCTGTTGTTGTTGTGGAAAACTGCCTTGTTGTCATGCATCATGATACTTGATGTCCAGGACTCTGTGGTCTACACTCATCTCCAGGCCAGCGGTCACTCGTTCGGGGATGAAGATGTTCACATCCTGGACAGAGAGGAATGATGGTTTGAGAGATGAGTAAAGGAGGCCATCTTTGTGAAAAGAAATCGTCCATCATTAAACAGGGGTGAAGCTTCCGGGTTCAACTGTCCCCCTCTTACAATGCTGTAATTGCTAGTATCACTCAGCCCTCTGTGAATAGTCTAATCCCTGGTAAGGTCTATTCAGGGGTACTGGAGAAGCGATTCTGATCATTCATCAAACCTCAGATCCAGGAGGAACAATGCAGGTTCCGTCCTGGCCGTGGAACACTGGATCAGCTCTTTACCCTCACTAGGGTCCTCGAGGGATCATAGGAGTTTGCCCATCCAGTCTACATGTGTTTTGTGGACTTGGAGAAGGCATTCAAGTGTGTTCCTCGGGGTACACTATGGAGGATGCTCCGTGAGTATGGGATTGGGGACCCATTCTTATGGGCTGTTCAGTCCCTATACAAGCGGTGAGAGTTTTTTGTTTGCATTGCCGGTAGTAAGCCGAACCCCTTCAAGGTGTGAGTTGGACTTCACTAGGGCTGCCCATTGTCACTGATTATGTTCAAAACTTTTATGAACAGAAATTCTCAGTGCTGCCAGGGGGCGGAGGGTTTCTGGTTCAGTGGCCTCAGGATTCCATCTCTGCTCTTTGCAGATGATGTGGTCCTGTTGGTGTCATCGTGCCGTGATCTTCAGCTCTCACTGGAGAGGTTCGTAGCCGATTGTGAAGCAGCTGGGATGAGAATCAGCACTTCCAAATCTGAGGCCATGGTCCTGAACCAGAAAAGGGTGGATTGCTCTCTTCAGATCGAGGGTATGGTTCTGCCTCAATTGGAGTAGTTCCAGTGTCTCAGGGTTTTGTTCACAAGTGAGGGAAGAATGGAGTATGAGATTGGCAGACAGATTGGTGCAGCGTCTGCAGTATTGCAATCTCTGTACTGGTCTATTGTGGGGAAGAGAGAGCTGAGCTGTAAGGCAAAGCTCTGTTTACCGGTCCGTCTATGTTCCTACCCTCACCTATGGTCACGAGCTCTGGGTAGTGACTGAAAGAATGATATTGTGGTTACAGGAGGTTGAAATGAGTTTCCTCTGCAGTGTCGTTGGATTCTCCTTTAGAGATAGAGTGAGAAGTTCAGTTATCAGGAGAGACTCAGAGTAGAACCGCTGCTCCTCCAGATCCAGAGGAGCCTGTTGAGATGGTTATGGCATCTGGCAAAGTTGTCCCCTCAACACCTCCATAGGGAGGTGCTTCAGGCATGTCTGACTGTGAGGAGACCCCAGGGAACACCCAGGACATGCTGGAGGGACTATGTCTCTTGGTTGGCCTGGTAATTATTTGGGGTCCTCCCAGAAGAGATGGAAGAGGTGGCTGTGGAAAGAGATGTCTGGACCTCCCTGCTCAAGCTGATGCCCTCAAGACCCGACTTCAGAACAAAAGGAAGATGATGGATGGATGTAAATAAAAAAATTGTACAATACACACGATTGTGGACTGTACAGCAATATCACTGTACAGAACTCTTATGGTTGTGACAACATTAATGACAAAAAAATCATAATTCAGACAGGCGACACAGTTTTATAGT